GTTCCTGGGGGTCAGGAGGAGGAAGTTGGCCTTATACTTGAGCATCTCTCACAGGTTGTGAGAACTATTAAGGTAGTACAGGACATGATTGGCGAATGGGACCCACAAACAAAGCGTACATTGCAGCTCCGGAATGCACCTGATGGAGCAATAGAACCCTACAAAGTCTTCCTCACGCACAGGAAAAGACAGCGTCAGCAACTGCCTATCACGATGTTCTTCAGCTGCACACCCAGACACCCACTGCCTACTCCTAGTGCTCCTTCAGAGGAAGAAGATGACGACGCACCTGCTAAAGACACTGCACCACCTGAAGATTCTCCTACTGGGGTCATGCCTTCAGAGGAGCAGTAACCTTGCTCTTTGCTCTGTAGTACATCTCTTCATCTTCATCGCTTCATATTGAACAAGTTGCACTATTTTCATAGGTTAGTGCTTGTGTGTTAGAACTGTGTGTGTGTGTAATTAAATGTACAACAATAATATATTTGTAATGTTTAATATGTCTTATTTTCTCTTATTTTGTTTAATATATTGGGTAATACTCATGTAATGGTGACTAAAAGGTGTCATTTCATGTCTAGAGGGCTCTAATGTTAAAAAACGTATTTAGAAGGTCGTAAACAAGTTTTCTATGCTCTGCGAAAATATTTGATTTATTAAAGAATCCTACTTTGTGGAAATTTATTTATCGCAGTAGAGTCTGGAACTGATTAACCGCGATAAACAAGGGCCGACTGTACATACCTCAGGAAATATTTATTAGTACTTTGCTTGGTATTTGCATATTATGTTTTTTTTTTCTCACTTTTAATATAGGCCTTTCCGTCCTTATGTCCTGGTTATGTCTTTGCTAAGTACCGTACACTTGGGTTTAGTCTGAATCATTAAGTTCATTTGCATTTGATAAAATTACCTATATATTTGACTTCTTAAAAGCTTTTTATTTTTTAATTACAGGTGACATTCAGTATTATATTAATTTCAGGTGTACAGCATAGTGGTTACATACACATTTATATAATTTATGAAGTGATTCCCCTGATAAGTCTAGTACCCCCGACACAATACATAGTTATTACAATACTTTTTACTGTGTTCCCTATGCTGCACTTTACCTTCCATGATATTTTGTAACTGCCAATTTGTACTTCTTAATCCCTTCACCTTTTTTACCCTGCTCCCCAACCCCCCTCCCATGTTGCAGACATTAGTTTTTTGTATCTGTGCATTTGTTTCTATTTTGTTTGTTTGTTTTTCAGATCACACACATAGTGAAGTCATATGGTATTTGTCTTTCTCTGTTTGACTTATTTCACTTACCTTAATACCCTCTAGGTCCATCCATGTTGTCACAAATGGCAAGATTTCACTCTTTTTATGGCTGAGTGATATTCTTTGTATATATGCACCACAGCTTCTTCATCAGTTGTCAGTTGATGGGCACTTAGATTGCTTCCATAGCTTGGCTATTGTAAAACTCTAATGAACATAGGGATGCATTTGTCTTTTCAAATTAGTGTTTTGTGGTTCTTTGGATAAATACCCAGAAGTGTAGTTGTTGAGCCCTTCTTGGTCTTTGTTATATATAGCCTTTGTTTTAAAGTCTGTTTTCTTTGATATAACTATTGTTTCCCCAGCTGTTTTTGTTCTTGTTGTTTCCTTTTGCATGAAATATCTTTTCCTATTCCTTTACTTTCAGTTTGTATGTGTCTTTTGATTTTAAGTGAGTCTCTTATAGGCAGCATATGTATGGATCTTGTTTTATCTAGGAAGTACTTTATCTCTTTGATTCTAAATGATAGCCTTGTTGGGTAGAGTAATCTTGGTTATAAGTCCTTCCTTTTTGTCACTTTGAAAACTTTTTGCCAATCCGTTTTGGCCTACAAAGTTTCTGTTGAGAAATCAGTTGACAATCTTATGGAAGCTCCCTTGTAGGTAACTAACTGCTTGTCTCTTGTTGCCTTTAAGATTCTCTCTTTTTCTTTGGCCTTTGGCATTTTAATTATGATGTCTTGGTGTGGGCCTCTTTGGGTGTGTCTCATTTGGGACTCTGTGCTTCTTGGATTTGTATGTCTATTTCCTTTGCCAGAATCAGGAAATTTTTAGTCATTATTTCTTCAAATAGATTTTCAATCTCTTGCTCGCTCTCTCTTCTGCTTCTGGTGTCTCTATGATGTGAATGTTACACTTAGTGTTATACCACAAGTCCCTTAAATTATCCTCATTTTTTAAAAAGAATTGGGAGGAGGTGTTCCAATTAGTTATTTTCCACCACCTTGTTTACCAAATTGCTGATTTGATCTTCTGCTTCATCTAATCTGCTATTGATTTTATCTAATGTATACTTCATTTCAATTGTTGATTTCTTCATTTCTTACAGGTTCTTTTTTATTATTTGTGCTCTTTTTTTATGTTTACTATCCATTTTTATTGTCATAAGGTCATTTGTCATTTTTAACTGCCTTCAGAATCTTTTCACTCTTGCTACATGTTTTTATTTTTGGTGTTCTGCATTTTGACTATAATGTGAAAATGTAAATTTATTTTTATTCACCTTGCTTGAAAAATGTTAGGTTTCTTGAACCTGTGGAATGTCTTGCATCAGTTCTGTGAAATTATCAGCCCATTTCTATTAAAATATTACATCTGCCTTATTTTTTCTCTCTTTTCCCTCTAAAACTATCATCAAATGTGGCTTAGGTCTTCTCCCTACATCTTACCTATCCTTTAACCTGTCTTCTGATTTTTTTTTATCCTCATCCGAGGACATTTTTCCATTTTTTGTACAGATAGAGTGGGAGGGAGAGAGAGGAAGAGAGAGAGAGGGAAACATCGATGTGAAAGGGACACATCGAGTGGCTGCCACCCACACAACCAACCAGGGCCGGGGACAGACTGCAACCGAGGTACATGCCCTTAGCGGGAACCGAACCCGGGTCTCTCCGGACCGCAGGCGGACGCTCTAACCGCTGAGCCAAACCGGCCAGGGCTGTCTTCTGATTTTTTTTTTAATCTTTTTTTATCTGTGTATTGCATTTTAAAGCATTTCTAGTCTTATTTGATTCTTTTAAAAATCTTCTGAGTCACCCTGGTCAGTTTTGCTCAGCGGTTAGGGCATCGACCTGCGGTCCAGAGAGACCCAGATTCGGTTCCCGCTAAGGGCACGTACCTCGGTTGCAGTTTGTCCCCGGCCCTTGTTGGGTTGTTTGGGTGGCAGCTGCTCGATGTGTCCCTTTCATGTCGATGTTTTTTTCTCTCTCTTCCTCTCTCTCCCTCTTCCTCAAAAATGGAAAAATATCCTTGGGTGAGGATAAAAATGTTTTTTTTTTTTAATCTGCTGAGTCACTTTTATAGTTTTTTCACTGCAGATATTGTCAAGCTTTATTTTTTTACTTTAAATTTTGTGGAGCTGTTCTATAATCTGTGTATGATTCTGTTAAGTTTCTTAGTATATGTAGTACTCTTCAGCTACCTCTTTTTGTTTTGTTTTTTTACTCATGCTCACTGAACCTTGTTTTCTTGTATTGTTAATGCTTGTTTATTTTTTACTGCGTACATTTTTTCCTTAAAAAAATCATTTCTGAGAACTTTTTGAAGACGGAATAAACAGGCCTTTTATTCTACCAGGTACTTGAGAACATTGCAAATTGGGCCTCACTGACACCAAGTTGAATGTTTAAGATTCCCTTGATTACACAAGTAAGGCAACTTTTCATTTCAAATCTGAGTGAGGGCTAGCCCATGACCACAACTTCTAATGAATTTTACCCCCTCCTGTTCCAGTTAGACTACTAATAATGTCCTAGCACATTCTAGGGGTAGAGCTTATATCTGGTTCACCCTTTTCCTGAGGATGTATTATTCTGTGACTCAGCTTTATTTGAGGAGGGCTTCCTAGAAGATTATGAGGTCTTGACTCTGACCCTCTTGCTGAGGAGGCTGTTGAAAGGAGAAGCTTATTATTATTATTAGCCAAAATGAGCAAAAGTGGCTTCACTACTTTGCTTACCTCTCTGAGTTTCCACTTTTTATTAAAATTTGCCTGTGTTTTTCTGTTTCTGTCAGTTCTTCATTACTTTTAAGACAATATTAAAATCTACTCTATTGCATATATGTATTTTGCCATTATCTTACTTTCTTAGATGTTTTCATTGGGAGGGTTGGTCGTTATAACCACTGCCATAGTTGAAACCCAAGTTCCATACTTAAAAATTGCATATAATTTCTTAAATCATTTTTATACTTGGCCAGTGATGGCTGGCCTTTCCTTTCCTTTGGCTTATGTCTTGATTGTCTTTACTCTTTGCATTGCAAATTCTAGATCCTCAGTCACTTAACCAAGAAACTTGCATTTATACTTTGCCATTTCTCAGAGTAATTTTTCTTCTTCCTTGATGATACTCCTTTATTCACTAATCTCTGGAGTAGACTAGTCCAGCTCAGCCAACCCAGGTATTCATTGGAGTAACACATGTCAGAGCCACAATGTTCTCATATCCCGTTTTGTACAGCCTACAATATTGGCTACTTTATGTTAGGCCTTGCACCAGACAGTGCCATGATCCCTCCGAGTGAACTACCTGTCTTGTAATAAAAGCAGGTATATAGGTGTATATGTTATATGATATATGTACCTATGGTACAAAACCATCAGTAAAAAAGAAAAGAACTGTATAGTTAGCCCCTATGGTTACCAAGTGACTTTCATTTTTTTTAAATTCTTCTCTTTACCTATAGGCTCTGGAATTATACAGACCTGGGTTTGAATACAGGCTCTTATCTCTCAGATTGGCATCTCATTAATCTTACTACTAAAATGGGGGTGATAGTAGTACCTTTCTCATAGTATTGTAGGAATTAAATGACATTGCTGCTTAGGACAGTTTGTGAAATGTAAGTATTCAGTAAACCTTAACTATTATATTTTGAAAGTTATTTTATTCACTTTTGAAATTTAAGGCATTTTAAAATTAATTTGTCTTTGTTGTTGTTGTTAGATGTACTTTATGAAAAATCGTGCCCGAAGACAAGGTATTAACTTAAAACTTCTACCCAATGGGTTCACCAAGAGGAAAGAAAATTCAACATTTTTTGATAAGAAGTAAGTTTCTAATTTCTTCCTTGGTCTATCAGGTGTTCTGATTTTATCAGGAACATCCTTTAAGGTTTAATTTGATACAAGGTACCAAGAGTGTGTTCTATGAGCTGTTTGTCATTGGTCCGTGAAAAGATAACTGTGCAATTTGAAAATAAGCATTTAGAAACTTAAGCTAATTTCATATGATGTGTCTAATAAAAATTTGGGCTTGCATCGTGTGTGTGTGTGTGTGTGTGTGTGTGTGTGTGTCTGTCTGTCTCTGAGACCTAAGATACCATGGGAGTATTTCAGAGGCTTCAGGACAAAGCAATGAATTAAAGCTGGACCCATGCACAGTTTTTACCAGAGCAACTCAGCTTTTTATAATCCTTTCTACTTTGGGATTCCAAATAAGATTTCATTTGAAAGCCAGTGATGAGAAAGAAGGGGAGTTGGGAAACTTATTCTGCAGAGAACGTGATTACAGGTAATACAACAGAGATTGGTTTGCTGCTTTCTGAAAGTGCTAGATCAAAAAGGCCCCATTAGTGCAGAGTACTATAAGGATTCCAGAGTATTCTAAGTAGCCCACTAAATTGTTGGAGAATACCTTTCAAAAGTGAAGATTCTGGATTTAGAGTAAAAAAAAAAAAAAAAACTGAACCCCTTCCTGTTCGGTCTGTTAGTATGTGCGAGAACTTGTACAAATTACTTCCTTTCTCTGGGCCTCATCTGTATGATGGGGTGGGAGAGGGAGGCTGTACCAGGTAAACTGAGATTCCCTTCCAATTTTACTACTCCATAAATTGAAAGGCAGAGCATCAGATTGTTGTTAAACCTTCTACCTTTTCAAAACATGTTATAGTATAAGAAAGTGATGTTATCTGTTTATTTTTTTATGTTTTAAGACATAAATATTTTTAAAGGCGCTTTTCCTTTTTCCTGGTTGGCTTCCAGAGGTAAAGTAATGCCTTCCATTTAGTACATGTGAGATGATTCCTTTGTACACTTTGAAACTAACATATTTGGAAATTGACATAATTTGTTTGAAATATAGGGTAACTGGTTTGTGCCTTCACAAAAAAAAAAAGCACACTTTTTTTTTCCTACAGCCAGCTTTTTTCCTTTAACAATATAGAATGGACCTGTTTCTTGTTGATGCAAATCTACCTTGTTATTTCAAAGTTGTCTGCTCTGACTATGACTGCTATATACTGATTTATTCCATTATTCCCATATTCATGAACATTTGGCTTATTTCTATTTGTTGTTGTTAATCCTCACCCGAGGATATTTTTTCATTCATTTTTTAGATAGAGTAGAAGGGAGGGAAGATGGAAGTGGGGGGAGAGAAAGAAACATCAGTGTGAGAGAGACACATCGATTGGTTGCCTCCCACACGACCCTGACTGGGGCTGAGATCGACCCTGCAACCTTTCGATCTGCAGGCTGACACTAACCTCTGAACCAAACCAGCCAGGGCTTATTTCTAGTTTTTAATTGTTACAATAAAGTTGTAAACTTTTTTTGCCTATCTGATTATTTGAGAGGCTAATCTCTTAAATTTTTTTTCTTTTAAGGTGTGTCTCTTTATATCTTATCTTGGTCAGTTACATGCATTTGAATATTTTTATCAGTCTGTTTATCCTTTAACTTTGTCTTCCATTTGTGATACATTTTAAATAGTTGTAAAAAAGTTCTGTAAAACATAGAGATAGTAAAATTGGAGTGGTTAAGAGCACAAACTAGAGTGCGGCTGCCTGAGTTCAAATTTCTCTGCTCAGCCTCTACCCAGCTATGTGGTCGTAAGCTAATGCACCTAACGGCTTTGTACCATAGTTTTCTCATCTATAAAGTGGGGCTAGTAATACATTAGGGTTAAACCAATTTTCCATTTGTAGTACTATATGAGAATACCTGTTTAAATATCTCACTAATACTGAGTTGTCTCTTTTTTTTTTAATCCTTACCCAAGGATATTTTTCTGTTTATCTTCTGATAGAACGGGAGTGAGGGGGAGAGAGAGTGAGACATCAACATCGATGTGAGAGAGACACATGGACTGGTTGCCTCCCACATAACCTTCACCAGGGCCAGGGATGAACTGCAACTGAGGTATGAGCACTTGACCGGAATCGAACCCACAGCTCTTTGATCTGTGGGCCAACACTCTAACTGCTGAGCCAAACCGGTCAGGGCCTGAATTGTCTCTTTTTTAAAAATTTTATCAGTTTTAAAGGTTGACATAATATATTTTTTTTATTGATTGATTTTAGAGGGAGAGGGAAAGAGAGAAACATCAATGAGAGAGAACATCGATTGGCCGCCTCCTGCATGCCCCCCCACTGGAGATCAGGCCCACAACTTGAGCATGTGTCCTGACCTGAAATCCAACTGGCGACCTTTTGTTACATGGGTCGATGCTCAAACCACTGAGCCACACTAGCCGGGCTTTGACATAATATTTTATTTTAATTTTATTTCATTTAATTGCTAGTGAGTTATGGAATATTTGTCCACAAGTTTCAGAGTGATATTTTAAAATTTAATTGTAACATTAGACTTTAGTCCAGTCTGCTGGGTTAAGATGATCTATCATTCATAGAACCATTTTGGGAATCAGTTCAGTGAAAAATAAATGTATGTAACTGAATTTTTCTATTTGTTCATTGTTAAATGACCAATTATATTTTTTAATGAAAAATGGTTTTGCTACTAACTGAATTTAAAATGTCTGTCTTCAGATGTTGGATAATAAAGCATGAACAGGAGTTGGAACCTATACTTAAAGAGTATTGCTGGTTAGTCAGCTTGGAGATCTTTTAATCCCAATATTTTGTTCATTCTTGTTCATCATTTTCATCAGTGATTTAAATCTTGGCACTGTTGTTAGGATGTTTAGCAGTATCTCTGGCTTCCACTCTCTAACTGTTGGTAATGTGTGCACACACACTCTCTGTTGTAACAACAAAAAATGTCTCCAGCCTGACGGGTTTTGCTCAGTGGCTAGAGCGTCGGCCCTCAGACTGAAGGGTCTCGGGTTTGATTCCCGGTCAAGGGCATGTGCCTGGGTTGCAGGTTCGATCCCCAGCCCTGGACCCGTGCAAGAGGCAACCAATCGATGTGTCTCTCTCACATCAGTGTTTTTCTCTCTTCCTCCCCCTTCCTCCCTTCCTCTCTATCTAAAAAATCAATGGAAAAATATCCTTGGGTGAGGATTAACCAAAAAATAAAATAAAACAAAATGTCTCCAGACATTGCCACATGTCCCCTGAGGTGGGGACAGAGGAGAGGGGCAAATTCACCCTTACTTGAGAAGCACTGATTTAGATAAATACAGAAGACATACTTAACTGAATTTAATGCACTGCAAAATCAGGATTACAGAACATTTTTATTGCTAAAAGGTGGTAAATAAGTAGCAAGATGAATAATGAAGTCCCTGTACTTTAGGACTAGAATATGAAAAAAATAAATAATATAAATGAGGCCCTGTACTTTAGGGGTAGGAAAAAAGAAAAAGATACGTAGAAATACGTTCTTTGCGATACCTGTGTTTTCTTAGCCATTCATATGAAAATGACCAAGGTTATAGATGAAGGTAGTGTTATTTGCTAAAAAAAAAAAAGTGAAGTTGCCCTGGCCGGTTTGGCTCAGCGGTTAGAGCGTCAGCCTGCGGTCCACAGAGACCCGGGTTCGGTTCCCGCTAAGGGCATGTACCTTGGCTGCAGTTTGTCCCCGGCCCTGGTTGGTCGTGTGGGTGGCGGCCACTCGATGTGTCCCTTTCACATCGATGTTTCTCTCCCTCTCTCTCCTTCCCGCTCTATCTGAGTAAAAAATGGAAAAATGTCCTCGGGTGAGGATAAAAAAAAAAAAAGTGAAGTGAATACTAAATCTTTTAAAAGAATTGTTTTCACCTCTGTTCTTTTGTGTTTTTAAGAGACTCATTTTCAGTGCTTTTTTTACAACTTTCAAAAGTGGTTAAGGCTTTGACTCAGATAAACCTGTATTTAAGTATTGCCTCTACCATTTGGTACACATTAGGTGACCCTGGGCAAGATCAAACTTACTAAGTTGTTGAGAGGATTGAATGAGATAATACCATAGTACCTGGCACTTAGTAAATCATATACAATGACAATTAAAGGTCTACACTTTTTTATCTGAAATCCTGGGGATATAGTGCATTTACTATATAATATTCACCCCTAAGAGGTCTGCAGCAGTGTTGCATAATCAGACAATATTATCTCTGCAGTGAAACCAACAACTGTTCACATTATAATGGGTAAATGATGACTGAATGGGTTCAGTCAGATTTTGCTGCACAAGGAGTTAAGAAAAATTTTTAAGTTTCTGAGATTTGGGGATTTTGGAATTGGTATATGAGATTTTGGTCCTACACTAAGATTACTATTATTACTCCCTAGGTATTAAATTGGCCCTTTGTTTCAGCAGCTTGAACTATAATATAGTCAAAAACTCAAACTTGTTTAAAATCAAATGTTCAAATGGGTAACTTTTGAGCAATTTGAGTGAATAATTCTTTGGGTATTTTTGTAGCTTTTCTATAAAGTCTGAAATTATTTCAGAACAAAAAAGTTAGAATCATAGGTTCATTCTAACCTGGGTATCCTTTATGGCGGGAGTTTTTGACCAGTATCACTCAGTCACAAAATTATATCATCACAAAAATTATATGATGTGTGAATTTTTTTAAGAATAGGAAATGTAATTTTTATTTTTTACCCAAAGTGGGATCTAATACTAACCAATCTGTGATGTCAAAAATGTAGTATTTATAGCAGTGAATTTCAGAGGACTAATGAATTTGCAGGAACATCATAATGTATAACTTTAACAAACAAAGAAAAGTTAAGGGATGCTGATATTAACAATAATTGAACTGTCTGGCCAGTATGGCTCAGTGGTTGAGTGTCAACCCATGTACCAAGAGGTCGCCAGTTCAATTGCTGGTCAGGACACATGCCCAGATTGTGGGCCTGATCCCCAGTGAGGGGCAT